AACCAGCCTACCCACCCCTTGATTCACGGCTTGCGCATCCCGCCTCTCTGGCCCGGGCTAAGGCCCGCCTGCGCCCAGCTCGTTTCATCTTCTGCTTAGGCAACGGAGTCATTCCCATCTAAGATCACGAATCGGACCGAGAGTTACGTATAAGAATCGGGCAGCACACAGAGGGGACCGACCATCCCTGGCTTGCGCATCCCGCCCCTCTAGCCAGCTGAACGCCGTACGCTCGTTCGTGGGTCTGACGTTAGGACATACGGAATTTCATTCCCTGTTCTAATTCATACGGTGTAGACACCGATTTTGTCCAGGCTACTACTATTTATTTAATTTTATTTTTAATAAGGAATAATATTTAAGAAAACAAACAAAAAAACAAACAAAAAAAAAACAACAAACAAAAAAACAAAACGAAAATAAGATAGAAGTCAAGGGGTTGGTACGACGTCGAACTGCCCCGACCAATTACCCAACCAACTCCCCGACCAATTACCCAACCAACTCTCCGACCAATTACCTTACCAACTACCTGACCAGCCACCCTATAACCACCAACTAACAACCCTACAGCCCTAGATCCCCCTAAGTAGAAACCCTTTAAAATCCCCAGCCATTTTCGAAAATCCAGGGATCTGAGCTGTCGAAAAAAAAAAGCCATTCTTCCCCTTCAACACCCTCAGACAGACCTTATTTTCGACGCAAAAAAAAAAACCAAAACAAAAAAAAAACAAAACAGAAACAAAAATAAAAAAATACAAAGTCCTCGCCTACGGTGAGGAACCTTAGCACCGAGCCATCTGCAAAAGCCAAGAAATCGTTGGTTTCGCCAAAAAAAAAAAAGAAAGGGAAGAAAAACTGAAAACTTCAAAACTTGATCTACGCGAATCAAGGTCGTTTTTGGTGAAAGGGACCTCAGATCGAACTCAAGAGGCCGAGGGGAACATTTTGGTTTTTTGGAGAATTTTCTAACCACCGTCAACGGCGACCGTCGACCGACGACCGACGACAACAACGTTATTTTTTTTTTAAAGCTATTTTTTTTTTGAAAGATTAAAAAAAATGACGAAAATTTTTTTTTTGACTTTTATATAAATTATCAATAGCCGAAACGACATCGTTTCAATAAAACCCAAAACGATGCCGTTTTAACCAAAGAAGGATTCGCACGTTGACCCGAACCTGACCCGAGATCCACGTAACCCGACCCAAGGACTCGTTCCAGCCAGCCTTGAACCGGTTCATACGAACTGCCAGTGGACCGGATTGAACCGATCAGATTGCTCGGATCGTCGATCCGACCGCCGAACTGGTCAGATCGCCCGGACTAGCATTGACCGGTCCGGTTCAGGTAAAAAAAATTTTTTTTTTGAATTTTCTAATTTTTTATTATTATTATGTTTTGTTATTTTAAATATATTTTTATATTTATGCATGATAAATTTATAAATTTGTTAGAATAAATGTTTAATCGTTTTAATAATAATAAAATTAAGAACAAATAATAATAAAAATATATTAAAATGCTTTAAAAATAATAATAATATCTTCCATGCCTAGATGTTGGAGGGAATAAAAATATTTTTCTAAAACAATAATTCCGCCTAGATGTTGGAGAATTATTGTTAATTATTTTTCATAAATAAACATAAGAAATTTTTAATTAATCTTCAAAAATTATTAAAATTGAACTTGTTTAAAAAATCTGCCTAGATGTTGGGGATTTTTAGAGATGTTCGTATTTTCTTAAAAAAACGAAACCTTAAGCACTATTTCTTAATCCTAGGATTCTAAAACCCCTAAAAATCCAAAATCCATTAAATCCAAAACCCCCCGAAATCCAAAATCCTTGAAATCCAAAGTCCTAAAAAAATCCTAAAGAGACGTGTGAAAATTCTATTTGAAGCAATTTGTTCCCGAATGCCGCCTAGATGATGGGGTATTTAAGAAATTTTACTTCGTGAAGTCTTTTCACACGATTTCTTAATTCGTATTAATAATAAGATTAATAAATAAAAAGTATAATAAAATTGGAATCTTAAATATAAACAGTCGCACCTAAGCTCTGCCTAGATGTTGGAGAGTCGGGGTGGTCTTTTTATATTTAAGAATCCAACTCTTAAATTGCATTTCATTTTACATGAAATTCATTAGCATGATATACGTTAGCATGTTATCATCAATAATTGATTGCATTACTCTTTCTTTAATTTACTGATAAAATATTTTTTAATAAAAAAAGAATAATACTAAAAAAAAAATCTTTTAGTGATATTATAAAATAAAAAAATAACATTTCGAGAGAAATAATTCTTGGTACTTTGCCTAGATGTTGGAGAGTCACTAACAATTATTTCCTATAAAGATTGTTATTTTATTTTAATGATTATTGTGTTAAATCTTAGGCGAAAAGAGTTATTTTAAATTTTGCCTAGACGATGGAGAATTTTAAGATAATTCTTTAACTTAAAGATTTTCTCAATATTTCTAAATAAATATTTTAGCAAATTTTTTTAAATGAAGGGAATTAATGTTAAATTTCAAATTAAAACCATTTTTATCCAATGTCGAAAATAGCACATAATTAAATGGTACCAATTTATGGGCGTTGTGGGGGTCTAATTCTTCCCCACGCGTAACCGACTCCCGGACCCAACCTAATTTTTCGCAGACCGAAATTTATCTTTTTGATAAGACTTCAAACTCGTTTTTATAGTTTTATTAAAAAGATAAACTTTTGGGTGGCCAATCACACCCTAACAAAGATTGGTGGCGACTCCCTCTTTTTTATTTTTCTCGATTTTAAACTCATTTTTACGTCTGACGGTCCCAAAACTGTTACGACAACTTGGCGACTCCATTAGGGAATTATTTGAGAGTCAGGCCAAATTTTAAATTATGCACTATTGGTAACAGTTGGATTTAATTGATTTTATTTGATATTTAATTTAATTTCTTTTATTTTATTTTTCTGAAAACAGTCATGTTAATAAATGAAATAAATTATGTGCTAGTTATTACTTCATTTTGATTTTGTTTTTTATTTATTCATGTTATTTTGATTAATACATTACCTTGCACACACTTTGCATATTCACTCGCATACATGAGCTCTATACCCGGGCTCCATCCTTTTAGGAGGAAGTGAAGTAGCTACGCTCTCGTGAGGTGATAACCTCCGCATTTGCTAGCGAAACACTTCCACTCAGATTGAACCCGTTTCGTTAGTAGCCTGTAATGGGTGAGGATCGGGGAGCCTTACTAGTCTATAATGGATGATGATGTGAGGAATAGTCTGGGAACCTTTAGACATGTAAATCATAACCCGGCATATAGTGAACCCTGAAGTCCAACTTTAGGATAGAGCCATACTGTCCCTTTTACGAGAAAATTATCTAAATTAGGACACTACGTATATTCTGATATGCTTGTTCATTCATTTACTCAGTTTTATTTATTTGTTTTATTTACATTCTTGATTTGTTTTATTGTCTTCAATTTTGTTGCATGCATCATATAGGTACCATATTTTTAGAGGGTATTGTTTTGGACCAATCTTCAACAAAAAAAAAACTTTCAAAAAAACCTAAAGGATGTCGTCTGTGTGTGAGAGTTACTTAGAGGTTAAGAGCCATTCAGAAGGTACTCAGGGGAAAGAAGGAGATTGCTTAGTAGATGGTCATATATCGATGCTACCACAGTCAGTGTATATGGATCTCGATCAGAATAATATATCAAAATTGGAAGCCATTTGGAAACAGTGGAGAACAGAGAAAAAAGAATTTTTTTCCAAGAAATATGGGGATGTGGCACTGCTTATGTCTGTGAAGGTTGATGAACAGCTAATGAGAGCCGCAATACAGTTCTGGGATCTATCTTATCGACGCTTTGTATTCAACCAAGAAGACTTGGCTCCCATGATCGAAGAATATTCTTCTTTACTTCGGATAGAGTCTACCAATCAAGACAAGATCTATTGGAAAGAGCATAAGACCACCGGATATAGAAAAAAAATTAGCCAAGATCATGCAAATGGAGGTTGAAGAGATAGACAAGCACAAGAAAGAAAAAAATGGGGTTGAGACCATTCCATCAGCTTTTCTGCTTGAGTACATAAGAAAGTATATTGATACCGATCAGGGGTTGCATGTGTTTGCTTTGGCCATCTATGGATTGATGATATTTCCTAAGGTTTTAGGACATATAGAAGCATCAGTGGTTGATTTCTTTGAGCAATTAGATAAAGGTATAAACCCTTCACCAACTATTTTGGTAGAAACTATTAGATCACTTAATTTTTGTCGAAGAAAGGGTGAAGGACGATTTATGGGGTGTGCTCAGTTACTTTTTGTCTGGCTCAGAAGCCATTTTTGGGGAAAAGAGAAGACATCATTTCGACCATTCTCCGTGCATTTCAGTCCTATCAAGGAGTTTATGACTAAAGAATGAAGAAAAGATTGGACAAAAAGTCAATGGTTGGCATTCTTTTTTAAGCTCACTAACGAAGATGTAACATGGAGGGCACCATGGATGCTTTCGATGGCTATCTTATATAGTTATGGAGACGAGTCATGGGTACCTCTGTTAGGAATATGGGGGCAGTGAGTTACGCACCCCTTATGGTTCAAAGACAATATGATTCACGACAGTTCATCCCTATGACTCATAGGCTTGGTTCACTCGAGTTTGATTATGGAACACCCGGTTATATGAAAAGGGTTCGTGAAATCATTAAAGCATGGAAGCAGGTCAATCGAATGAGCCCAGCTAGACTCACAGATAATGTTGCTGAAGGTTACCTTGCGTGGAGGATGAAAAGAGTTAACAAAATTAGGCCTCTACCAGCTGATGTTTCAGAGAAGTTATTGGTTCCTGTTTCAGTATCGGTATTGTCAACTCTTGAGATTGCTCAATGAGAGTTTGAGATTGAAAAGAAAAGGTTAGAGAAAGAAAAGGTGGCTATGATGGATCAGGTTAACCAACTAAGATATGATTTGATGATGAAAAATGATGCAGTACAAAAGTTGACTAAAGAACGAAAAGTATTGAAAGAGGATCTGCAAGATCTGCATCAAGAAAATAAGAAATTAAGGTTGGATAGTAGACCTTTGAAGGGATCCAAGAAGGATGTGGAAGAACTACGGGACATGGTGGAATATTGGAAGAACAGAGCTCAAGAGAAGAAAGAAATGATCTCCACACTCACCAAAGAGCAACATGAATGGAAAGAAAAACTTTCAAGAGCCTCTGAAAAGGTAACAAGGCACCAAAGAGAAAGTGAAAAGCTAAAAGCTGAGCTAATGAGGGAACAAATCAAGAACTCCGATTTGCAAAGCAAGAAAAAAGCCTTAGAGCATGAATTAATGAGTTTGGAGCTTCAATTAACAAGCAATCAGAGGCACATAAACGAGATTTTGACTGAGTGGCAAGATAGAGAAGATTATTGGGCTCGCACTTGTAATATGGAGGTAGATGCTCGAGAGATGTGGAGAGCAGAAAGTTTAGGGAGACAGTAATACATCGAACACCTGACTGCTCAAATCTACAAGGCTATCCGAAAAGTAGGCAACATGGTTGAAAAGGTGAAAGCACTGGAACGAGAGATTGTACCAACCAAAGGCCACAGTCAAAGATTATTGCACTTTTTGCATGAAGCTAGGGAGCAATATGCTCAAATCAAATGTTTTTATGGCTTTAATGCGAGAATGATTGGATGATGTGTAAAGACTCCTATGGTTAATGAAAGTTTCTTTTTGTTTCGATCGATCTAAGACAATACCCTAATTTGCATTTCATTCATTTCATGCATACATTTTCATACTAACAATAATATCAACGACATTATATCATGCGATCTAATTCATGGTTAATAAACTAAGGTTCAAGGATAGTAAAGCCAAGGAACCATAACTCGTCAATTTCGCATAGATATAATACTCGTTCCCAGACTCGAGCCATGGAAGAAGAGAATACAGCTAGGTTTGAAAGGGTCGAAAGGGTACAGGAAGAGATACAAGAAAGAGTGATGGAAATACAACAAAGAATTGAAGCACAAATGGCTAAATTAAGACAACTGTTGATTGGATCAATGAAAGGAAAATGAGTCACTGGTGTATCAAAGACAGGAGATGAGGTTAATATGGAAGAGCCATTATACCCTCCTGGATTCACTCCACCTCAAGTTCAGGTTCATGTTTCTCGGGGTATACACATACAACCACCAAGTGCGCAGCCATACCCCTATGTCAATCATTCTGCAAATCAGCAGCCGACCCACTTGAATGCCAATTCGGGACCTATCCTAATCGATCCCATCATGGTACCAAATCTTGACGACCCTGTTGAGCAAGAGAAATCTCACGAAATGTCAGAACCTGTTATAAATTCAAAAATTCAAGATAAGTATGACCAGCTTGAAAAGAGGCTTAAAGTGGTTGAAGGTAATGACACTTATGGGGTTATTGACGCCAATGAGCTTAGCCTAGTGCCTGACTTGGTTATCCCACCAAAATTTAAGACCCTGGATTTCGAGAAATACGATGGGACAAAGTGTCCATCTTCTCATATCACCATGTTTTGTAAAAAGATGATGGGTCATACCTATAATGACAAACTATTGATACACTGTTTTCAGGATAGTTTGACTGGTTCAGCAACTAAATGGTACGTGCAATTAGATCGAAATAAGATCAGTTCATGGAAAAACTTGGCCAAAGTTTTTCTTGCTCAGTATAAACACGTCTTGGATACAGCCCCTGATAGACTGTCATTACAAAATATAGAGAAAAAGTCGATGAAAACCTTCAAAGAATACGCACATCGATAGAGAGATGTAGCAGCCCAAGTACAACCACCACTGACTGAAAAAGAGATAATCGTGCTATTCATCAATACACTGAAGGCCCCGTATTATGACAGATTGGTGGGAAATGCCACGAAAAACTTCTCTGACATGGTAATTTCAGGGGAGATGATAGAAAACGCTATCAAAAGTGGTAAAATTGAAGGGTCTGAAAAGAAGATAGCTACCTTAAGGAAGAAAGAGCAGGAGACACATGTTGTCACTCACACAAATCCCCCACACCATCCTTTTGTTTCATATAACCTACACCCCCATTACTACTCTACCATAAACCAAATCTCTCAATAACCATACCATTACCGGGCTCCCCAACAACCGTTACCCAGATCAAGTTTTAGCCCTCAACCATCTAATTACACCCCGACACCTCCAGCTCGACCATTTACTCAACCAACCTACCCAAACAGCAATCAAAGAAACTCACAGAATAATAACAATCGAGAAAGACCTCATTTTGACCCAATTCCCATGACATACACAGATTTGTATCTTCGACTTGTTGAGAAACATCTGCTTGCTCTTATTATTATTGAACCTTTGAAACCTCTGTTTCCCAAATGGTATGACCCCAATGCACATTGTGATTATCATTATGGGAATCCAGGTCATTCCACTGAGCATTGTACTACTTTGAAGCATAAAGTGCAGGGGTTAATCAATGAAGGAGTATTAAATTTTGATACCAGCCAACAAGGGACTCCAAATGTCAATGGGAACCCTCTACCAAATCATACCAGACCATCAATAAATGCTTTGATTGATGGGCAAACAAGTTATGTGAAAAGAAGAATAGAAAAGGTCAAAACTCCTATGGCTAAAGTGTTTGAAACCTTGGTCAAAGCTGACATGCTAAAGTCGATAGAACCTCAAAATTACTCTGAAACGGTTAACTCAACTGAAAGTTGCCATTATCACAAAGGTGCTCTGGGGCATTCTATCAAGAATTGTCACCAATTTCGTCAAGAGGTGCAAAAATTGATGGATGAAGGTCGAATAGAGTTTTACCAAGAGAGAGAAGAGTTGGTGAAAGTGTCTACCATTGATTCAAAGAATAAGTTTGGGCATAGACCAGTAACTATCTATTATGATGAGAAGCCAACATCGAAGCTAGAAAAACCCGTCTCTCGACCAGTGGTGACAATTAAAGTTCCTGGCCCTTTTCCATATCAGAATGATAAAGCAGTACCTTGGAAGTACGATTATGATGTCGTAGTCAACCCAGATACTACCAACATAATGGGTGTAGGAGGCAAAACCCGAAGTGGCAGGTGCTATACCCCAGAGGCTCTAGAAAAAGCTAAAAAGGAGAAAGCCAAGGTAGGGGAAGAAAATAAAAGTTAGAGTGATCTTGATGCAACACCAGAAAAAGAATGTCAGAAGCCAGTATCTGAGAGTGAAGTAGGTGAATTTTTGAAGTTAATAAAACATAGTGAGTATAACATGGTAGAACAGCTTAACAAGATGCTAGCTAGAATTTTGTTATTGTCATTATTGCTCAATTCAGAGTCACACCGTAATGCTTTGCTGAAGGTGCTAAATCAAACATATGTGTCTCACAATGCTTCTGTTAAATATGTGGAACAGCGTGTTGGTAATCTGATGATTTCAAACTATATTTTTTTCAATGATAAAGAAATTTCTCTTGAGGGTAGAGGAAGTACCAGGGCTCTTCACATTACTGTGAAATGTAAAAGTCATATAATGGCTAAGGTTTTGATTGATAATGGCTCATCCATCAATGTTATGCCTACAACTACTCTGGCAAAACTCCCTGTTAATGGATCTTATATGAAACCTAGTCATATGATAGTGAAAGCCTTTGATGGAACCAGAAGAGAAGTGCTGAGAGATATAGAAGTGCCATTACAGATTGGTCCATGTACTTTCAACGTGAAATTTCAAGTCATAGACATCTCTCATTCATATAGTTGTCTATTGGGTAGACCGTGGATCCATATGGCAGGTGCTATCCCATTCTCATTACATCAGAAAGTCAAATTCATTGTTGAAGGAAAGCTAACATGTGTGGTAGAAGAAGAAGATTTATTGGTAACTCAACCGATAAATACTCCTTATGTGGAATCAACAGATGAAGCTTTCGAATGCTCTTGTAGATCCTTTGAGATTGCCAATGCAACATATATAGCTGGAGGATCTAAATTGTATTCGCCACACTTATCTACGACTACTAAAATGGTAGTCAAATAGCTTATCGAGATGGGATGGCGACCTGAAGTCAGACTTGGGAAGAACCTGCAAGGAATCACGAAGCCATCGGCCATATATGAAAAGAGAGACAGGTTTAGCTTGGGATATAAGCCAACAAGAGGGGACAGAGTAAGAATGGTGAATGAGAAAAGAGATAAGAGGATAGCTAATCTTAAGGGATATGAGCTGAAGTCAAAGTCGATAGTCATTCCATACCTCTATAATTTTTTTCATTCGAGAGGATATATTTATCCAGATTTACCAGGAGCCCCAAGTGCAGGATTCGTGAAAAAATTTTCAAAGCTGGCCATTCAAATAGTGGATGATGGAGAAAAGAAGAGTCGAAGTGAAGATCTATTCGTGTACCCTTGTCCTTTAGATTTTAAGCTGGATAATTGGGAAGTTACAGAGCTGCCTATTGTTTTTAAAACTTTGGAAAAGTAATGTGAAACTTTAAATCCCTAATTACATTCTACGAGTATTAAGAGATCTTTTATGGTGTGTTTATGTTTGTCATTTTAATAAAAGACTTAGAAGATGCATCCGTATTTTTTCTGTTGTTTTTATCTTCATTTTACCTTTCATCCTTTTCTTTCCTACATTTTCTTGCCATTCTATTTTTGTGTGCCAATATTCTCTCCATATTACCCTTTGTAGGGTCTCAAACAATGAACATGAGGATAATCATGGCATTAATTTTGGATTTGATTTTGAAAACTTAATTCATGTTGATGAACTTGATAATGAGGAAGATTCAGATAACTATACACTGCCTCTTGATTTGTTAAAATTAATAGAACATGAAGATAAGCCAATTGAACCCCACCAAGAAATTATTGAATCAGTAAATTTGGGAGATGGTAAGAATAAAAGAGAGGTCAAAGTTGGTACATCTCTTTTATCAGTTGAAAGACAGGAGCTAGAAGAGCTGCTCTGAGAATATGTAGATATGTTCACATGGACTTACCAGGATATGCCAGGACTCAACACTGATATTGTAGAGCACAAGTTACCTTTAAAACCAGGATGTAAGCCGATGCAGCAAAAGCTAAGGCGCATGAAACCAGAGATGCTGCTAAAAATTAAAGAGAAAGTGAAGAAACAATTCGATGCCAGATTTTTAGAAGTGGCAAAATATCCTGAATGGGTAGCCAACATAGTGCCAGTTCCTAAGAAGGATGGAAAAGTGAGAATGTGTGTCGATTATCGAGATTTGAATAGAGTAAGCCCTAAGGATAACTTTCCTTTACCTCACATCAATACTCTAGTGGATAATACTGCTAGGCACTCTACATTTTCCTTTATGGATGGTTTCTCAGGCTATAATCAGATCAAGATGGCTCGAGATGATATGGAGAAAACTACATTTGTGACCATGTGGGGAACATTCTATTACAAAGTCATGCCTTTTGGGTTAAAAAATGCTGGTGCTACTTATCAAAGAGCAATGGTGACTCTTTTTCATGACATGATGCATAAAGAGATAGAAGTGTATGTAGATGGTATGATTGCAAAATCTCGTGAAGGAGAGGATCATATAGTCAGTCTCAAAAAGCTGTTCGACAGGTTGAGAAGATTTCAGTTGAAGTTGAATCTTGCCAAATGTACATTTGGAGCCAAATCAAGAAAACTATTAGGCTTTGTAGTTAATGAAAAAAAAATTAAAGTTGATCCAGATAAGAAACAAGCCATCCAAAACTTATCACCTCCTCATACCTCAAAAGAAGTGCGAGGCTTCTTAGGGAGATTAAATTATATTGCTCGCTTCATCTCTCAACTCACTTATAAGTGTGATCCTATTTTCAAGCTTCTCAGAAAACATAATCTTGGAGAATGGAATGATGAATGCCAAGAAGCTTTTGATAAGATCAAAGAATACTTGTCAAATCCACCTGTGTTAGTGCCACTAATGCCAGGAAAACCTTTGATTTTGTACTTGACAGTGCATGAAAATTTAATGGGATGTGTGCTGGGGCAAAGAGATGAAACTGATAAGAAAGAACGAGCAATTTACTGCTTGAGCAAGAAGTTCA